ACAATACTGCAGCACACAGCCAATGCAGTACACAGCCAATACAGTATACACCCAATACAGTACACAGCCAATGCAATACCAACCCAATGCAGTACGCAGCCAATGCAGTACGCAGCCAATGCAGTACACAGCCAATGTGGTATATACACAATGCAGTACACATGCAATGCAGTACACAGCCAATGTGGTATATACACAATGCAGTACACAGCCAATGTGGTATATACACAATGCAGTACACAGCCAATGCAGTACACAGCCAATACAGTACACAGCCAATGCAATACCAACCCAATGCAGTACGCAGCCAATGCAGTACACAGCCAATGCAGTACACACCCAATGCAGTACACAGCCAATGCAGTACACAGCCAATGCAGTACCAACCCAATGCAGTACGCAGCCAATGCAGTACGCAGCCAATGCAGTACACAGCCAATGCAGTACCAACCAAATACAGTACACAGCCAATGCAGTACCAACCCAATACAGTACACAGCCAATGCAGTACCAACCCAATACAGTACACAGCCAATGCAGTGCACAGCCAATGCAGTGCACAGCCAATGCAGTGCACAGCCAATACAGTACACAGCCAATGCAGTACACAGCCAATGCAGTACACACCCAATGCAGTACACAGCCAATGCAGTACACAGCCAATGTATTATACACCCAATGTATGACGAAGTGCAGTACACACGTTTCTAAATCCTGGACACGACACTCAACTGCTTGAGTTGCATCCAATGCCACTGTTTTACGATACGTGAGTGTAATACAGTCGACAGTACACCACACACCACACTCATAATTACCACACTGCATTCAATCCTGCACACGTTTGAAAGTGTGGACAATAAACACACTTAACTCACTATTACTCTAACACAACATTTGGCCGAGTAGGAGTGTGTCTTGTTGAGTTTATTGTGTTCAATGCTGTGTGGTTTGTGCTCACTAATAGCCTCACCTCTTATGCACTACTACAACACTGCACACCGAACGATTTCTCGAATGTATGGCAGCACGCACACTACACACACAGACTACACACACACTACACACACGACGCACACAGACTACACACACACACAAACTACACGCACACTGCACACACAGACTACACACACTACACGCACACACCACACACACTACACCACGCACATTACACACACACCACACACTACACACACACTACACTACACACACCACACACACGACGCACACTACACACACACTACACACACGACGCACCCACGACGCACACTACACACACTACACGCACACTACACACACCACATACACCACACACCACACACACTACACACACGACGCACATACTACACGCACACTACACACACACTACACACCACACACACGACGCACATACACGCACACTACACACTACACACACGACGCACACACTACACACACACCACACTACACACATACCACACACTACACACTACCACACACACACACCACATACACCACACACACTACACTACACTCACACTACACACACGACGCACACACTACACACACACCACACTACACACATTACATACACTACACGCACACTACACACGCACACTACACGCACACACCACACTGCATACACTACACGCACACTACACACACACATTACATACACTACACGCACACTACACACGCACACTACACACACGACGCACATACTACACACACACCACACACTACACACACACACTACTACACACTACTACACACACACCACACACACTACACACACTACACACACGACGCACATACTACACGCACACTACACACACACTACGCACACTACACACCACACACTACACACACACCACACACTACACACACACCACACACACTACACACACGACGCACACACACTACACGCACACTACACACACACACTACACACACACACACGCATACTACACACACACTACAAACACACATTACATAAACTACACGCACACTACACACGCACACTACACGCACGCGCTACACACACGACGCACATACTACACGCACACATCACACACACTACACGCACACTACACACACACTACACACACACACTGCGCACATACACACTGCGCACACACGACGCACACACTACACACACTACACGCACACTACACACACTACACACACACTACACACACACGCATACTACGCACAATACACACGACGCACACTACACACACCTTACTCAGTACACACACCTTACTCAGTACACACACACCTTACTCAGTACACACACACATCTTACTCAGTACACACACCTTACTCAGTACACACACACACCTTACTCAGTACACACACACCTTACTCAGCACACACACACCTTACTCAGTACACACACACCTTACTCAGTACACACACACCTTACTCAGTACACACACACCTTACTCAGTACACACACACCTTACTCAGTACACACACACATCTTACTCAGTACACACACCTTACTCAGTACACACACACACACCTTACTCAGTACACACACACCTTACTCAGTACACACACACCTTACTCAGTACACACACACACACCTTACTCAGTACACACACACACCTTACTCAGCACACACACACCTTACTCAGTACACACACACCTTACTCAGTACACACACACCTTACTCAGTACTCACACACACCTTACTCAGTACTCACACACCTTACTCAGTACACACACACACACCTTACTCAGTACACACACACACCTTACTCAGTACACACACACCTTACTCAGTACACACACACCTTACTCAGCACACACACACCTTACTCAGTACACACACACACCTTACTCAGTACTCACACACCTTACTCAGCACACACACACCTTACTCAGCACACACACCTTACTCAGTACACACACACACCTTACTCAGTACTCACACACCTTACTCAGTACACACACACCTTACTCAGTACACACACACCTTACTCAGTACACACACACCTTACTCAGTACACACACACACCTTACTCAGCACACACACACCTTACTCAGTACATGCACACACCTTACTCAGTACTCACACACTTTACTCAGTACACACACACCTTACTCAGTACACACACACCTTACTCAGTACACACACACCTTACTCAGTACTCACACACCTTTCTCAGTACACACACACCTTACTCAGTACACACACACACCTTACTCAGCACACACACACCTTACTCAGTACACACACACCTTACTCAGTACACACACACCTTAGTACACACACACCTTACTCAGTACACACACACCTTACTCAGTACACACACCTTACTCAGTACACACACCTTACTCAGTACTCACACACACCTTACTCAGTACACATACACCTTACTCAGTACACACACACCTTAGTACACACACACCTTACTCAGTACACACACACCTTACTCAGTACACATACACCTTACTCAGTACACACACACACCTTACTCAGTACACACACACACCTTACTCAGTACACACACACACACCTTACTCAGTACACACACACACACACGCCTTACTCAGCACACACACACACACCTTACTCAGTACACACACACACACCTTACTCAGTACTCACACACACCTTACTCAGTACACACACACCTTAGTACACACACACCTTACTCAGTACACACACACCTTACTCAGTACTCACACACACCTTACTCAGTACACACACACCTTACTCAGTACACACACACCTTACTCAGTACACACACACCTTACTCAGTACACACACACCTTACTCAGTACACACACACACCTTACTCAGTACACACACACATCTTACTCAGTACACACACACACCTTACTCAGTACACACACACCTTACTCTGTACACACACGCACACCTTACTCAGTACACACACACACCTTACTCAGCACACACACACCTTACTCAGTACACACACACCTTAGTACACACACACCTTACTCAGTACACACACACCTTAGTACACACACACCTTACTCAGTACTCACACACACCTTACTCAGTACACACACACCTTACTCAGTACACACACACCTTACTCAGTACACACACACCTTACTCAGTACTCACCCCTAGTGAAGTAGCCCTACTCACAACCTACTAGCACACACATGATACTCGCATATACACACAGTAAGTATCCACACACCCACATCATACTCGGTACTTACTCGAGTGCAGTACTCAATACACACACATTCTCAGTACTCACACACCCTGGCAGGGTACTCGTGTGTACTCGGTACTCACACACACGTGTGTACTCGGTACTCACACACACGTGTGTACTCGGTACTCACACACACACGTGTGAGTACTCTGTCGTCACGCGTGTGTACTCTGTAGTCTGTAGTTACGCGTGAGCACAGAGTACTCACACGTGTGTACTTGTTACTCACACGTGTGTACTCTACTCACACGTGTGTACTCTACTCACACGTGTGTACTCTACTCACACGTGTGTACTCTGTAGTTACACGTGTGTACTTGTTACTCACACGTGTGTACTTGTTACTCACACGTGTGTACTTGTTACTCACACGTGTATACTTGTTACTCACACGTGTGTACTCTATTCACACGTGTGTACTCTATTCACACTGTGTACTCTGTAGTTACACGTGTGTACTTGTTACTCACACGTGTGTACTCTGTAGTTACACGTGTGTCCTCTATTCACACGTGTGTACTCTGTAGTTACAAGTGTGTACTTGTTACTCACACGTGTGTACTTGTTACTCACACGTGTGTACTTGTTACTCACACGTGTGTACTCTACTCACACGTGTGTACTCTACTCACACGTGTGTACTCTGTAGTTACACGTGTGTACTTGTTACTCACACGTGTGTACTCTGTAGTTACACGTGTGTACTTGTTACTCACACGTGTGTACTCTGTAGTTACACGTGTGTACTCTACTCACACGTGTGTACTCTGTAGTTACACGTGTGTACTCTGTAGTTACACGTGTGTACTTGTTACTCACACGTGTGTACTCGGCCCGTGGTCCCCGTGCCGCCTCCTTCCCTCTGCGCTCACTTCTCGCGACTCTGGAGGGGTTCCCACTGACGGTGTGGTGGTGTCATCCCAGCCCTCATTCAAGCCACCACCACCACCCCCAGGCTCCGTCGTCATCTTCCTCATCACTTATTCATGAGGAGGCTGTCCACTAGCGCCTCCGTCTCGGTGCCTCGAGTCCCGGTGGTGCGGAGAGAGAGAGTCGAAGAATCCCACACTCATCCTTCATGATCCTCGGTACAGAGAGAGGAGAAGCATCCCACACTCATCCTTCATGATCCTCGGTACAGAGAGAGGAGAAGCATCCCACACTCATCCTTCATGATCCTCGGCACAGAGAGAGGAGAAGCATCCCACACTCATCCTTCATGATCCTCGGTACAGAGAGAGCCGAAGCATTCCACACTCATCCTTCATGATCCTCGGTACAGAGAGAGCCGAAGCATTCCACACTCATCCTTCATGATCCTCGGTACAGAGAGAGTCGAAGCATCCCACACTCATCCTTCATGATCCTCGGTACAGAGAGAGTGGAAGCATCCCACACTCGTGTTTCATGATCGTCTCTGTCATCTCCATCACTTATTTCATGGAGGGGAGGAGGGAGATCACTCAGTGGAGGTGGGTTGCGTAAATGATACTTTTATTTGTGTAATGTGGAGAGAGACGGACTATATGGAGTGGAAATCTTGTCTGAGTATAATCAGACAAGATAGATTATCTATTTTTGTTTATATTCTCCACCTAATTTTTGAGTCTGCTTCAGGGCAAGCTGATGACTCTGAGACAACGTCAGGACAACAGAGTCGCCCAGGAGACACTGAGACTCTGACGCAGATATCAACCCGGGTTCATGCGTACGGGAGATAAAAGTGAATGCAGGAGAGTTGGGTTTTTGTTGTTGTGCAAGACAGTACAGCCACGGGAGAGACATCGGGAAACGATAAGTGGGACACGGATATGGAATCGAGACATGAAGACAAAATAACCTGGGATGTAGATCAGGGAGATGAATATGCAGCGAGGTAACACGGTGGGACAGATGCTGGGAGATAGAAACCAGAGGGACATAGACATTAGACCAGACTGACGTGGGATGTGAAGGACAGAGGGGGAGACACGGGATCGGTAGATATAATACATAAACATAATGAGAATACCCTTGACCGTATTTACCTGAGAAAGTCTCACTGAATCTCAAAACCCCTGAAGGAGGCTCCTGCTACATTTGGATGTTCGGCCAATTCCAGAAATGAGCGTCGAACTTTGTCTGAGATGGAATTGGAGTGCCCAGAGAAAATCCACTAAACAGTACTCAAGAAACCATGAATGTGCTGCGAGAGATCTGGAAACTGCTTTCAGCCAGCTGGAAACTTCCCTCCACACGATAAAGTAATGGAATGCATGTAAGTGGGTATTCTTGGCCTTAATAAGTTCTCATTCACGGCATTTGCTTTCCGGATCTACAAGGCTAAACAGGGATTTGTTGTAGGTGCGTGTGTGCGTGTTTTCCATGTAAAATTCAAAAATATAACATCAAGAGGATAGTTTAAATCAGTTAACAGATGTGTAATCAGCTAATGAAGTGGTTTGACGTGTTAGCGGGTTCCTGGAGTTCGCGATGAAAGAGAGGCCTGTTGAGCTGCAATCGTAACCCGGGGTTGTCTCGGGACAACCTCATGTGCTCACAAGTACTCACTTAAGCAGAGGCCCACGGCAAATTACGTGGTTGTGTGAAACACCAAGAGGCGAATTAGCAAACACGCATGCAGACCTCTGCAACACATTCAGTGTAAACGGAGGCGGTTACAGAGGTGCCCAGTTGTTGACTGAATAGAGGCCACTGACTCCTTGCGACATTTCCTCAGGGTTTGTGGTGGTTCACGAGAACTCCTACGACAGGGCGACAGTTCAGCTGAAGCTGTAACAGGGCAGAGTTCCAGAAAATACCCCTCCTCCCCAAACATGCTGGTAGAGAGGAGTTGGTGTCCAGCGGCTGTAAACGTAAAACAAATTGTGTGTCGGAGGAAACTGTAATGTCTTGATATTCCCCACTTTGTAATTTTTGACCGCAGGCCCAAAGACCTAGAACGCAAAGAAGCCAGCAAATCAAGAGTACCAACGATCATATCACAAATGAGAACTGAACACGTTTCTTGAATAGCATTGAGACTATAAAGTATTAAAGCTTTCGTGACTGCATAAAATTACTCATTGGTATATTTTATTGTATTTCTACATACGTGACTTTACCGAAAAAAACAATGAGCATTGAGACTGGTCGCCTTTCCATCTCCTCCCATCTCGGCGCCCCTCCGGCTAGAATTCCCTCTTGTTAGGAATGTCTGCTTTAACCACAGTATATATTCCATCTATTATTATTGTGGCGGTTGTTATACAGCTTTTATCTGCATTTTGAGATAGTAAACCCAGCAGATGGGCGTTGAAGCGCATTCCTTTATCCCGTAAATTGTTTCATGTTTACATTCTCGTGGGAGCTCCTGTTTAAAACACCCCAGCGCACCTTCGAGATTTTTTTTGTGATTAAGATTTTTTGTTAAAGTTAAGCATCACCTGTAGAAATTGTTACAATTCGAGCAAGAGTGTGGCCGATAGACACGTTATTACATCATTATTTTTTTTAATCTTTTACAATTGTTAAGTAAATGCCGGGATTTAGATGGGCCGTACCAACGTAAAATTTCTAATTTATTTGGAGCGTCTCAATGCACCGCCACCACATGGCACTGTACAAACTTACCGTCTCATCTGCTGAGTCACTCAGCTATTTACGTCTCCCAACCACAAACATTGAAACCACCTGTAAAGCACAAGCCCCCTACCATAAATACATCATTAAGGAGGCACTTAAAAGCCCCACCCATGTCTTACGCCTGGATTACGAGCGACGCTGAGCTCAGCTACGTACCTCGGAGTCGTGGTCATATATGTCTGTGGAATAATGTGCGTGTTATCAAGTGAATTTTTATTATTATTACATCTCGATTAGAGGTGGTATCGATATGACGCTGGCGCTAGTCGTGTTCCTTGCATTCCGAAGCGGTTGCACTTTGGAATGCAAGAGGTCAAGCCACGGGGGAGTGGCTCTATCCTCATATGGCGCTCGCTCGGGTGAGGTGGGCCAAATGTGTCAAGCCAGAACCCACCCACCCACCTCGATAAATTTGATACAAAAGTTTAACAACGCCAAGGTCTCATCCACTCCTTCTCGAAGCAACCCGCACGGAATGATTGTTGTATTTATTTTATCCGGAAGAACCCCGTCTTATCTGCGGTGACGTGCGGGACGGACATCAGGGATCATCTTATTCGCAAATTTACTCTTGCTGATTTATCCATGGGTGGAAAATTGTGGATAATAGGATTAATTTCCTACGTGACACCTGTTGTGATAAAAAAAACGTTTGTGGATAATAAGGAAATTGCTCCACAAAGATGGATGGGGAAAAATAGTGGATAATTGTCGATTTAAGAATGAGTTTTCGCAGACGAAAGCAGTCACGGATAATAGTATCACAGAGAAGATGAGGCGAGGAATGATTAACTCCCCCCACCAACCCTCGCAGCAATTTGAATTGCCACGATTAGATTGTTTAACCGTCTCTTTTGGCCCCCACAGGACAAACGCTAGGCGGTCCGGTTCAGGAGTTAACCCACACAAGTAAATAGAAAGAAAGCAACACAGAATGCTGACACAGCCAAACGCTGTCCTCATAAGACAATAAAACCGAGAATGTACATTACGCTGCCAGTGATAAAGTTTAACTTTGGAGGTTAACATGGCAACAAAGTTTTACGGTTTGAATACGTTTGACATTTTACCTGCCAACACATTTTTTTCTTTTTTTTCTTTATTGCGCTTGTTTCCCAGGAAAGCCTCGCCGAGTCTCAAGACTCTTTTTTAGGAGGGTCCTGCCGAGATTTTCTCGGTAGGGCAGGTTGGGGGGAGGGGGGGGTGATGTCGCTGCGTGCACTTTCAATTGAGTAATTTGCAGTGATTGTAACTTCAGAGTTTGGATGTTTTGGTCAGTGTCAGGAAAACCAGAGAACCCATAGAGAGCAGAGGGAGAACATACAAACTCCACACGTAAAGAAAGGCACGCAAGTCGGGAAACAAACCGTGACTCTCCCTGCTTCGAGTCACAGATGCGTGACCACTGCGCTACCCTGCCGCCCGATGTTAACCGTTTTGCTGGAGCTACTTTTGTTTTTTGTTCTGCAGTGACATTGTGTACTCCATTCCCTTACGCTCCATTCGGGTGTCTGCGTGGATTGCTTAAAAGACCGTTGATGTGTCAGAGGTGTGAGAGGCTGTACGGTTAAATCTGACCATGAGCAGCACCAGACAACCCGATAATGCACGTTTATGCTTGTTAAAGTATAAGTAAGCCTATGACCAAATCACCCAAAATGCACCCAATCTCCATCGGATCTCTAAAGCTAAGCAGGATGAGCCTAGGTAGTGCTTGGATGGGTGACCACCAACAGGTGCTTTAAGCTGCTGCAGAGCTACATTGTAGGGACGGTGCCGCACAATGCTTTGTTGCTGTACTACAATGCTCCGCCTTTGCTCGCTGCCTTCAGCCCCCACTGACCAGTGTGGTGAAGTATGGTCAAATAACCCCCCCCCCCACGGATGGCAGGCAGCTGGGAGGCACTCATCCAGCAGTGGACTGGCAAAGGGGCTGTGCAGTACACACAGTGTGTGAGGACAGGGAGTGCGGAAACCAGAAAACCGTGGCATTGTTACATTGACCAACGATACCAAATGTGAAAGTTAAAATGCAAGTGATGAACAACAGTAAATGTTTAACTGTCTCTATGTAAAACATGTAAGGCCTGTGGAGGATTAAACGGGACTCAAGTGTTTCAACAGTTTAATGCAATGATGATCGCTGTCATAAATTAAATATCAGATACTTTGTTTGGACTGCAGGAGGAATGCGATGAGCTATAAAAGCTCTTTTGTTCACAGATGTGCAGTTAGGGGCACGGGGTCAGAAAGTTACAACAACAAACACAACACAAAAACATGATAGGAGTGCAAAATATAGGAAAGGTAATTGACCTAACAAGGCCACTTGCGCTTGGCTTTGCACGATTGCCTTTGGAATTCCATATTCCCTTGTTGGCGTCATTCCTGCTGCATAACGATGTGAAGTTGACTGTGTGTGTCAGGCAGCACGTCACAGGATAATGTTGCTGCTCCACGCTTCTGTGCATCGCAAATTGCGCTGCCAGTTCCCGACTTTTAAACGCCCTGACCGACTGCCCCCCCCCCCCATCCAAACCGACTCCACTCCAGAAACTCAGCCTGAGCCCAAAAGTGGAAAGTGCGAGAGTGCCAGTCTGAGCCATGGATGGCCAAACAAGACGAGATATGTATGGTCGTGTCAAATAATGATTAAGGAACTGATTAATGAAATAATGAAATAATAACTTAGCCAATTGGTTGATCTATTGTTTGGTGGGATTTGTTTTTCCCAGTAATCGGTGGATCGTTTCAAGTTCACAATCCACGCATGTTAGCCGCGGAGGGCCGCTATATTTACAACGTTGTAAATAAAT